GTATTAGTTGGATTTTGTTGTTGAATTGGTTGTTGATGTTGTGCATCTATTGATTGTGGAGAAAAATTCCTATGATTTGTACGTGTTTTCTGTATTCCTTGTCTACGATATTCTTGAGTATTTGGTGCAAATATATCTGGTTGTAAGAAATCGTCATCTGAGGATAAATAATCCATTTGATAAGATGTTTGTTTTTTATTTTTATTCTGTTGAAAAAATGGGTAATTTTCACTGCGATCCTGTGGAGGATTTGGTTGAAAATTTTTGGAATTATATTGGGCCGTTGGTTTATCCCAGTTTCGAGGTTTTGTATATTGATTAAAATTCCTTTGTGGTTGATAATTTGTTTTTGATGGATGTGTATAATTATAATTATGGTCTGCAAAGTTGTTTCTAGTGAATGTTTTGCGTGTTTTTGATGGTATTGTCATGGGTCTGTATGTTTGGTAATCCATATGGGAATATTTTGGAGCAACCGAAGGTTTAACGGTTGATTGTAAGGTTACCTGTGTTTGTGAAGGATTTGTATTTCTTGGTGTTGTTAAATTTGGGCGTATTGGTGAAATACTTTGTTGTGTAGTTGTTGTGTGTACAATTTCTTCATTTATGAAGTGTGATGGTGTCTGGATATCTTGTTGAGTAAGATTCCTAGTTCCATTGAGGTTTTCGTTGTGTATGACTGTAGAGTTTAAACTATTATTTTGTGTATCGGGTAAAAATGTATTATAGTTTAATGGTGTTGCATCAATTGTTAATGGTATTACTCTTACATAATCTCTTATGTAAGATATTGTACCTATTGCTTGACTTGAGATTGATTGTGGAAAGCTTATAAATGCGGGATGAGACCATTCGGGGTCCCAAACATAATCTGATTGTTCTGTGATAGCGGTATCATCGTTCGAATTTTGGGGTCTAAAATTTTTTCTTGCTTGTGCAATTAAATCAATATTGTGTGTGAAATAATCTATTATGAACCATGCTAAAATTTTTTGTAGATCGTGTTTGGTATGTTGTGAAACGTCATCTTTCGTGAAATTTTCTTCAATGATGTTTAAATAACTAGAGAGTAGTGTAATTTCATGTCGTACTTTCAAATGTTTAGATGTTTCTGTCGGTGAGACATTTGTTAGTGGGATTTCGTTTTCTAATATCGAAATATAACTATATATTATTGCGAAAACTTCATTGGTGAATATGGAGTTTGCTCTTTGTGAGTTATGATATTGGATGCTTTTTATATATTCTGAAAAAACTTTTGAAAATTCTAAATCAAGATCGTCTGTTTGAATAGTATATGTTCTATTATTATGGTTTGGGGAAGTGAATTCTATGGAGTAGATTCCATACTGTTGTGTTATGTTGCATATATCTTTTAGATAGTGATCTATGATTTGTCTTTTGATTTTTACATCGGGGAACTCTGTTTTACATGGACTGATTCCGGGTTCAAATAAATTTACGAGTAAATTTTGACAAAATATGTGTTGTCCTCTATCAGTATCTGCGTCTACTATAAAAGGAAAGATTTCATCATCATCTGGAGTTTCGTCACCTGGGGTGTGTGTTGAACTCATTTTTCCGTTCGATGACTGTTAATATGTAATTATTAATGTGTCGAATTGGTTGATTCCAATTGTATAGATGTACTGGTTTGTGTTTGTACTGTTTTTTTATTCTTCTTTTTCCTCTTTGTGATGAATTTGAAGTTGTTTCTGAGTCAGAAAAATATAATTGATCGTGAAGTGGGTAATTTTTATCTATTGATTCTTTTAGTTTGTAAAGTTCGTCTAAACTGTTGGTTTCTGATTCTGAAAATGCGTTTCGATTTTTTGAAAATCTTTTTCGTGTTATTTGTCTTTGTTTAGTTATTATTTTCCTCTTTAGTGTTTGTCGTTTTGTGCGAATGTATCCAACTGTTTGTGTATGAGGTGTGATTACAAGGTCGTATTTTTTGTTATCTATTTCACAATTGTGTAAAATGATTGTTTGTTTAATTCCTAGGTTTTTAAATGACATAAGGTTTAGAATGACGGATGCAAAAAGTTGTTAAATGATTTCTATTTTCTTAAACTGTTAGTTCTTACGATTTTTTGGTTAGCTTAACCTGGGTCTATTTGTTCAGGGTTGGAGAGAAAAGTATATCGATTCCGAAGAATGATTTTTACTTTCTCGTGGCTAGTATAAGCTAAGGTGTTAACTTACTTAATCTTACTTAGGGGTAGTGATTGTGTTCAAGGGTTGGAGAATAGTAAATCGATCCACAAGGTTCAGGTATAATTAGAACGCGAGTAGTTCGTTAGATACTATTTTAAACTTACTAAGTCTAAGATTTATCCTGGGTCTGGTAAGAGGGGGGGTCAAGTGAAGGATGAATAACCGAAGTTCTTCACTGTTTATCCTAATTTGAATGATTAGTTTTGTTTTAAAAATTTCTATTAGTCTTGGGTCTTTAGAAAGGGTTGGGTAGTGAATCGACGTTTGAGGTCGTTAGACACTAATTAAGTGGGTGGGGTAGAACAAAATTGTTCTGTTTGATCCAAGGATAAGCCTTGATGATCAAATTTGAGATTTTAATTAAGTAGAAAATGATTTAAGATCCAAGGATAAGCCTTGATGATCTGGTTTTAAAATTAAGTGATTTTAAGTTTTAATAAAGTTTTAAATTTGTGTAAAGGAAAGATTTAGTGTTTTATGATGTTAGTGAGTTGATGATTGCTGTTATGTTTTAGATGATGAAGCTGGAACAACAGGATGATTTATGATTACTAACCATTTATTGTCATGCTACTAATTTTTATTTTTGTTTTCCAATAAATATTTTTCAAACATGTTTTGTATAATACTGCAGAGTTTTAGGGAAACGATCTTAGATCTTTTTATCAATCGTTATTGTATAATATTAATTTTGTTTAGCGCCTGAAATGATTTTGAAGAGTAACTTCAAGGTTTTATGTTTGCAAATGGAAATCTAAATTCATTGCAAGTAGTATTCGAAATATAAAAGTTTGTTCTGGCTTTTGCCGAACTATCATATAACTATACGGCAAGTTTCTACTTTGTCGTATGTCGTCTTTGGTTCGAGGTCTTCTTCCAATTCCGGGTAGTTCTATTATGGTTCGGAATATTGGCTCTGATCTATTGAGTCGGAGAGACATTTCAATTAAATTATTGTCGTATAACATTTTGTAAATGTTTTTGTCTAATTTCTAATCTAATTTTGGTTAATTCTAATCTAGTAAGGTCTTGTTCGAGACTTATGGTCGCACCAGATGAGTTATGACCGAAGTGTAACTCATAGAGTAATTTCGGATAGGGTACACCGTCTGCTCGTCACGCTATCTTATTTTCGGCCGGATAGATTCGTGCAACTTCTTAGTCTAATACCGATCCTAATCTTACTCTTATACTATCTAGTCTCAGGTTGTTTAACTAGTCTCTGCTAGGCTCAATAGATCTAGGGTATACTGGTTTATTGCGGCTGCTGAAGTGCTCGGGAGAGTCCAACTAATTTCTAAGTTAAATTCAAATCTCTCTGGTGCTGAAATTACAAGTAACTTCAGCACTTACAAATAAGTGGGTTGTTAGTTAGATGGATCATGATTGGTTAATATTAAATACTTTACATTGGTAAAACATTTAATTTATCCAATCATAAAATATAGTTTAGATCAGGTTCCACACTAGTTTAGTTCACATATTCAATGTTCAGCCAATTTACTTGGCAAGTTAACTTCGTGTCAAGAATAAACATAGGGGTGAAGCATTTGGAGCTGAAAGCCGTAGAAAAAATTGATCTCCCAAAAAACTTCCTTTTGTTGTCTTGAAAAAATGTTAAACAAGCAGCGAAATAAAAATTAAAAAGCGGTAACAAAGCCTACAATTCTTGAGCAGACACACGTTGCGCCGAAACAAATTTTACTGAGAAAACTCAAAAAGTTTCTAAGTACCCCTGAAAACACTAAGATAAATTTGTTTGCTCATCGAACCCCTCAAAAAAGGCCTCTAAGCCGATTTATTCTAAGCCGAAACCTTTTAAGCCTAATAACGAGGGAAAAGACGAAAACTGATATACTGAAATCGGAGCTGGTAAATTTGCAACCAGCACAAAAAAAATAGAACGGGCATGTGAAATGCAGATATGCTCAAATATTGTAAGTTCCCATTTTTCTGTTCGTTGAAAAAAGTAGAGACGACTAAAGTTTCCGTCATCCCGTAAACAAAGTTATTTCCGGAGGGCAAGTGTAGTACCCGATTGCAATAAACTTGCTTATCGCAAGGGTAAACATAGAGGCGAAGCGGAGCTTCGCACCACATAAAGCCGAAAATGAAAATTTTTGAAAAAAAACTAGGTCATATTGATTTTCAAATTGATTTTTTTTCACTCCTTGAGTGAATGTTAAATATATTATCAGTAACGATTGCAAAACATTTTTAGTCGGCACGGGGTATCTGATTGTTATCATAGGTTCATCTAACGCTCAGTTTTTTAAGTCAACCACTTGAGTAAAATTTGAAAGTATCATGAAACTTTAACGAAGAGATATTTCTCCCATTAAACACCTGCTAATAATTTAATTACGGCCACTTTTTTTTCCAAAGTTGGAGGCAAAAACAATTACACGTTTTGATCAAACTGGTTTTCCACGGAGATATTGAAAATTGAGATATTAATTATTTAATATAAAAACGCAGATGTTTCTTTATTTTCCCGCTTATTCATAAAGTTCTCGTTACTGTATGTTAGTTGAAACGTGATCCATCATTTTTGATTGAGTAGAAAAAATACATACACTTTTCACTTTTCCCTTTTTCCTTTTTGCTTAGACTGGCTTGAAAATTCTCTGGTGTGTTGTAAGTTATTATAATCCCGCAATTCTTATGAAGTCCTTTTTCAAAAATTGAATTCTCCTTAATTGAATAAAAAAATATGCGAGAGTAAAATTGCTGAAGCAAAAAGTGTTTCAATTTATTAATTTATTATAGTATCAATTGGATTTAACGCGTATTTTTGTTTAAGCTAAGAAAGTTTAAAAAAAAACGAAAAACGCTCATTTCGGCTCAATGGATGATTCGGATAATTATGTTCCAAACCCGCTTCTCATTGGCGAACTGGACAATGATCAAAGCGTTCACTCATCCGACGAGGAAGGAAATGAAGATTTAGCCGAAAGTTCTCGAGCCGATTCGGAGAACGAAAATGATTATTTTGTATCAAATAACAACAACGATGATGAAGATAAGGAGCTTAATGGAAACTCAGAATTCATTGGAGCTCAAAGTTTTAACCTACCCGATCCGAAAAAAGCCTTGGCTATGATACGAGCGAAACATAATTTCGAAGACTTGTCAGGAGACAAATTAAGTTCAACATGGAGTTCAAATGCACCTAAGAACTCGGCTTCTAAATCCTCAATTCCGCCTCCACCCAGCGAAATGAACAAACTAACGCCTTTAGCTGTGAGCAAAATAGTCTCAAAAAGTGAGGGCGCCTTAATTAATCGAGCATTACCAAAAAGTGTAGCTTTAGAAAAGCAAATTTTGGCCAACAGAGCGGACAAAAATTTATCCCCCGTGTTTTCAGTAGATCCCTCGGTTATAACTACTAAAAACTCATTCACAACTGCAGCAGTTTTACCGCCAATTTTGTCAAGCACGACTTCAATGGAGCAATCGCCGAGACGAGATGAGGTTAATGAACTGAAAACGAGTCTCGACTCGGCCCGAGAAGTGCCGACTCTGCCAGCTATTAACGGATCACACTCAAATAGAGAGTCGTCAACCAATCAGACGCAAGAAGAGACAGAAGTAAGTTCACAAGAAAGTAAAAAGATCCGAGAGCTGAAAAAACTGTACAAAAAGAGCAAGGAGAAAAACGATTACAAAACTTTTCACGAGTTTATCGAAGAGCATTTCAAAAATTTCACAACTGTAGCAAGTTATTTCAAATCCTTAAAGCCTTCGGCCGATTTTTATGACGAATCTTGCGGCTTAGACTTAGAGTTGTTATACACATTCTGTGATATTACCGACAGGTTTCCATTAGATGATACATTTCGAAAAGTCTTGTTGAAAAATATCGTCAATATTCTAATGAATCCGCCTCCTCAAGATCCGACTATGTCAAAAACCGACTTGCAAACATATTTCATTCTGTTGCATTTTCCAATTTTCGCCGAGCTCAATACTTATGTCGTGTTTTCGTATTTAGTTCGTCAAATCGCAACTCTCAAACCCCCTAACATGCATCAATTAGTGATGTTTTTCAACAAAGCGGGCGACGTTAGCATTCGAAATGTTTCCAAAATGGTACGAAAATTCGTGGATAAGAGATTTTTCCCGCCGAGCGATGAACTTTTACCCCCTAGCAAAGAGTGTACCTGGTGGATTCCGAGTGCATGCAAGTGCCTCGCGATGCTATTCGCCGCGAACGCCAACCAAAATGCCCAGCCACATCTAGAAATCCGAGCGTTTTACTGCCGATCCATGGATCATTTGGAACTTCTGGAAGATTTCCAGAGTTTCACAACTGGAACCCCGAAACGAAGTTTCACATTTTGTCAGTATTCGTTCGTGATCACGACCTTCGCAAAACGAAGATTGTTGTCGCAAGCTAACGAACTCGAAATGCTGTCGGCCGCGAAAGACAATTTAAGTTCTCAGATTAGAAATTCACGAAGCAGAGATTCAGCCAATGTTCAAACTGCTCTGTTTGTTGAACTTTCAGTTCAAAGAGTGTATATTTTACAGGATTCGATAAAAGAAGTTGTAGCAAAGCAAAAAGAATTGAAAAGAAAACTACGGGTTAAATTTATAGGCGAAGAAGGTGTGGACTTAGGCGGACTAACCAAAGAATGGTTCTTGCTGCTTGTACCCAAAATATTTGGCCCGCAGTTGGGTTTGTTTGTTCAAACGTCTTCCAAGAATATATGGTTCAACGGTGCGTGCAAACATCTGGACGGGGAGTTTTACCTGGCCGGGGCTATATTGGGACTGGCAATTTATAATTCGATTGTAATTGACGCGCCACTGCCAGTTTGCTTATTCAAGAAGTTACTGAGGTTGGTGATATTCACTGATATTCACTGATATTCAAGTTACTGATATTCAAGAAGTTACTCAGGTTACTGAGGTTCATTAAAAAAAATGTAATTTTAAATTTCCTGCATTTGTGCTTGCTCGCTTCTGGATTCCACAGAAACATCTTAAACATGTCTTTTAAATTCTGACAAAACATTTGTTGTTATGGAATCCAGCGACAAACAATTATACGCAATAAAAAAATCGCCTAGTGTTTAAGTTGTATATTGACTATCTTTATGTGGTGTCAGGTTTAATTTTTGCGGAAAAAAGAGACAAAGGCTGAGGAAACCACCGAATGAGCACAGAATTTATAGAGTGTATGGCGTCATAATGTGTTTCGCGCATCCAAAAATTATGCACTAAAAACTCTGGATACTGAAAGTTACACAAAAATTTCAATTAAAAGTTTTATCATTGAAAGACGCGTTGAGCAAATTTGAGAAATATTAGACATTTTCAATACTGAAAACTTTAAAATAATTTTGTTGTTTCCCATAGTCCCCCCGTGTCCTCGAAGCAGACCCCATCCTTCCCTCTGGGCCACTACACATTCAACCTGCACGACTACTCCGAGTTAGAACCAGAGGTGGTTAAGAACTTGTCCGAATTGCTGGCATACAACGGAAGTGTGGAGGAAGACTTCGCACTAGGTCTATTTTCTAAATCGTCTATTTAGTCGAATCTTAGTTCAGTTCAAACTTTGAAAAACCAATTTAAAATTTTTGAGGCAGTATCTAATTTTAAAGACTTCAAAGCAAAGCCAGATGAAGTTCAATTTTACATAATTTGTATGAATGTAAATTTTAAATAAAGTATAGTCTTAATGGCAAAAAAGCGAGCCAGAACTTTTAAGCTAAAATGTGAGAAAAAACTGTACTAAGAAGAATATTTTTGTTGCCTTAACTTATTTTTTCAAAATTAAAAGAGGTCGTTCTAATTTTAACCAGACTTCTGTGTGAGTGTGCGAGATGACCTCGAAGGAACCAACAAAAACTACACTCTGAAGAAGCATGGGAACAAAGTGAAAGTGACCAATCAAAACAGAGCAGAATACGTGTCAAGGTCAGAGAAATTAACGTGTACAGAAATTATTTAAGGGAGGGAATCTTTTTAAATAACACCCTTTTGGCGAGATTCGTTATTATACTCACATAAGCTTAAACGTTAAAGTAGTTCTTAATGGGGGGTGGAAATTTGTTACTAGAGGTACCATAGGCGACTAGAGGTTTCATAGGTGGAGGGGGAGGTACTTAAAGATATCCCAGGGAGTTCTGAGTTCAAAATTCTTGTCGACCTTTTTGTTTGAGTCGACCAAGTTTTGTTAAGCAGTAAATTTCCGAGATTAAGTAACGAAGTTATCGTTTTTTGACATTTCTCGAAAGGGTTTAGCTTTTCAGGTTTATGGCTGATTGTAAAAGGTCAACGGAGTCTGTTGTCTGTTCTGCAGGTACTTGTCGTTCCACCTGAACGAGTATGTGCAGAAGCAGTGTGAGTCATTCTACCGGGGATTCCACTCTGTCTGCAACTCAGATGTACTCTCCATCATAAGGGCAGAAGAGTTGCAGAACATCATCTGTGGGGAACCAATTTTGGGTTAGTACGGTAGTTTTTTTTGTCCTAAAGCCCATTTATATTTGAAAAAGAAGCCTGTTTCCGAGGTGTAGAAGTGCGTGGGTTGACCAAACTGCTAGTCATACAATTTTCATTATCGAAAAAAATGCTGGTCATACACTTTTCATGCAATTCCATAAGTACAGAAAGTTGCATGAAAGGCCTATGATTAGTGATATTTCATATATGGAAATTGTATGACTAGCATTTTTCCATAAATAAAAAAATTCGTTTTTTTTTGTGAAAAGTCAATTTCTCAAAACTTTTGGGATGTATTCGTAGACAAACACGTGAAAAAACCATAGTTTACTCACAACTAGAGTCACCAACGTTTTGACCGTCTTGCATACACATTGCATTGGAAGCGACCTGACTCGTCTAAGAGTTGTCTTACACCTATAATTATTGAAAATATCAAACTTTTAAATTTTGGCGAAAGTTTTTAAAGTTCATCATTTTTTATATTTTGAATTTTTCATAGACATTGATCAAGGCATAAATAAAGATGCCATACCAAAAAATTGGGAGTATTGAAAACTTTTGAAAAAAAATTATCCTGAAAATCGGAAAAAAAACCAACTTTTGTGTATCCGAGACCAGGTTATGCACACAAAAAATTAAGTTTCGCATGCACATTTTTTCGGAAAGTGTTTAATTGTATATAAAAACAAAAAAACGTTCGGGGATAATTCAAATGAATTTTAAAAATGTTTGCTTTCGCGATCAAAAAATGCTAGTGATACAATTTCCTTTTTATGTCCAAATAAGAAAAAAATTCTTTAAAATTTCGATGACATCATTTTACCAAAATGTATAAGTTTTTTTGGCTAATATTTTTTTCATACACTCTTTTCTGACTGATCATCTTATAAAAAGCCGAAACAGAATTACAACTGAGACTAAGATCAACACTGAGACTAAGTGTCTCAAGATGCTTGATAATAACAAAAATTTGATCAGACTACATTCTAAGTCAAATGAGGTAAAATTAGTTGCAAGCTAATTTTTTACAATTTTGTTTAGCAATCATAGCATCTTTTGATTTCATTTAAAAAATTTATCTAGTTTTGCTTTCTAGCGGTTAATTATTATTTCTATTTTTTATGGCAAAAATTTGACCAAACAGTCACTTAAATTGAAATATTGTGTATTTTGCGTTCACGAAAACCAATTAGGTTCATCTTATTCTGCGGTTATAATTTTCGTATTTTTTGGTAATTTGTTGAATGATTTGAATGTTACCATTTCTTACACTTGCTTCCTTTCAACGCAAATGCTATAGGCTGGCTTCATTTGTGGAGTTGTTTTTTTTCCAAGATCTCTTAAAGACATGCATCGTCTGTTAAAGAATCTTGCAAAGTTGTTTTCACAAGTAGTTATTTTGCAAGACCTTGCACTTGCAAGAATCTTGCATTGCAAGAATCTTGCATTGAAAGATCTCTTAAAGACATGCATCGTCTGTTAAAGAATCGTGCAAGATTCTTGCAAGATAACTTCCCTTGATCGACTAGGGTATCAATTAAACTTTTTGTAGCTATGTTCTTGATTCTGAAAACGCACCAGAAGGTCTCATGACTATCTCTTAGGCTAATGTTCAATGATTGCAAATGCGGTTTTATAACAAGCACTACTGGTATACTTGCTTTAAAACAATGGTTATTATGGTTTTCGAAAACTTTTCGAAACGAAGAATTTGAGTTAAAATTTGATAACAATTCAAAAACTACGGCTTAGAAAGTTTTTTTTCCCAAATTAGTTTTGTTTTCTGCTTGGTTTGATAGAAGGATCTCACGTAAAAACATAGTTTAGGCATATTAGACAGTCATAGTAATATAGGCAAATTGGACAACAATTAATTGTTCCTGAAAAAGAGACTCAGAAAAATTGGTAATCGTTTGATTTTTCGATTTCTCTGAAAATACTATGGATAACTTTAGTCCAATCAACTAAACCGTCACAATTTCGAGGTCAAAAACTTAGAAGCAAAATACAAAAATTATATTCTGAATTTGGAATAGGGTCAAAATCGTGACGTTTCCAATTTCTCAAGAAATTTGTAGCAAAGAGATCCTTCCGTAGAAAATGGTTTCAGATATTTTCTTCCCAGTAAGCAAAGTTTGACTCAATCAAATATCACTGTTGAAGATACTGAGTTTTTTTTTACTTAAGCAAATTTTCGTCGACATGATTGGCGCCTACCAAGTAAAATCAAAAGACTCGAAATTAACTCTGAAAAAAGTAAGAGAAATTTTTTTTTAAGCAAGGTTTGATTTCATTTAAAAATTTTTAGCCTTGGTTTTCTTTTGTACTGCAGAAGTGCGTGTTCTGAAGAAGAGTGCTCGTTATGAGGGTGGATTGACCTCTAAGGATGACCTCTCTCTGCATTTGTGGCAGGTGGTCGAGGAGATGAAACAGAGACAGATGAGGAGGTTTCTCGCTTTCCTCACTGGCTCAGAGAAGATACCCATCGGGGGAGCCAAAGATTTGAGTAAGAAAACCATTAATGCATCCTAAAATGAGCTTCTAGAGCGATTTTTTTAAACATAACTACTGTTTTTTCCCAAACCCCTAATCTCTTGACTTTATTCCTAAATTAACATACTCTCAAATTAAAAAATCACGATTGCAGAAATTTTTATTTTTCAGGGAAAAATGCTTACCAGAAATCTATAATGTGGAAAATGTATGATGGAAAGGCCGTCACATAGATGAAAAAGTTTATTTTAAGTTTATAAAACAAAGTTTATAAAGCATGGAAATACATGATAAGCATTTTTGCATGGATGTCAACCCAGTTGAGTATTAACCTCCACACTAAGCCGCTTCAGGCGGGAGGATGTTTACTTGATTCCTCAATCGATACAACGACACCCTCAAGTAACCACGAGAATCTTTTTGTTTTCAAGCTCACATATAACAGTTAAAATGTCACAATTTTGTTCAATATAGTTACAATTTATGCGGTAGACTTCTGCAGAAAAAAAAAATAAGAATTTTTATTTAAGATCACATTTGTTTTTATATTAGTTTTCTGCAACAAAACAGTATGAATTGATTTTTATTCGCGATCACTGTGTTGTGTCGTTTGAGAAGTATTGGGTTGCTTTTTCCAGCCCTCAGAATCCGCAAAGTGAGCAGTCTGTCTGAGGACTCTCTCCCAGTGGCCCACACGTGCTTCAACGAACTCCAACTGCCCCCCTACCAGTCAAAAGAACAACTCAAACAGAAACTGAACTACGCCATAAACAACACCGAGGGATTCAACTTGAAATAAACAGTCAAAATCTAAAATAGTACCAAAGGGGAATTCTTTGGGTCGTCGGGGGTCGAATACCCTAAATTCGCTTCTAAAACTATCTAAATTTTGCGAAGAAAAAACTCTACCTTAGAAATAATTTGAACTCATAGCTTATACCCCCAACCGAAGTAAATTCTCAGGTGGTCAAAAATATACATGCAATGTGAACAAAGGCCACGTCACTGGTTTTCATATCAGATATTAAGAAAAAATGCAAAATTACTTTGTTTTCAGCAGCCTCAAGCTTTATAATCATATAATTTTATCACATAGACTGTAAGAAATGCAAATTTATTTCATAAAAAAAAACTTGATTTCACCAAGTAAATAAGGATTGAAAAAAGTTTTCTATTTTGTCTGTTACTTTTTGTGTTTGTATCAATATCTGATCATCTTGGGGTATAAGTGAAAGCATCCTTCTGACACGCTTGCAGAGCAATTGTAGGTATTTCTCTCATAATTGTATTAGTAGCATAAAACTTAGAAAAAAGTTGAGAATGGTAATTGTTGATTTAAAAAAAATAGTTGACTAAATTAAAAAAGTTTCCTCTGAGCAAGCTGTGCTAAGTTTTCCCGAAAAAGACTACTAAAAAATAACGTGAGAAAAGCGAAAGCAAATTTGGTTAAGCTACTTGAAAATGCGCTTGAAAGTACAAATCGTTTTATCAATAAAGTTGATAAAAACTGGCTACCATTGCTAGTTTTCAGTTTACGTCAAAAACTCTGCACCATCAAGGTAACAAACAAAAATAAAATCAACACTAACTCTTATTGAAATTGTCAACTTGCCAAAGAAAACCGCCACGAAAGATTGAAACTTTGACAAAATCGTTAGATGATATTGAATTGCCTATTTTTGTTGAAAAATTTGTTTGGTATGATCCGAAACATTCAGTTATACATAATTTGAAAAAAATGTCATTTTGGCCGATATTGATAAATTAGTAAGAAAACTGAATTTAGAAGCAGAAGCAACTCTGAATTTATGCTCATCGTGCTTCCGTCGGCTATTTTGTTGACTGTAGTTTTGAGCCTTTCTAGCTTTTCTAGTTTGTTTAAAATGAAGATGCTTGATATCTTTAGATAATTGGTACTGTTGCAGATGGAAACCTTCCATTTTAGGTACCAACTTTTGTACTCGTTCGGTCAAAACTGTGTTGTAATTCTTCGAAATGTGAACAGAGTGTAAGCTTTAACTTATGGAACACAAAATTCAGTGTCACAGACTATATACCACAACAATTTACTACGATGGGTGCACTCTTGCCCACCTGTTGGGATTCCATAATTAAGGGACAAAGACCCAATTGTATTCGGGGGATCCCATAAAATCAGATCGTTTAGTTCTCGGGTCTTTTTACTTATTCCGCCGAAAAGTCAATATTTCAACATCTTGACCTGAAATTATTTTGCTTCAATCTGATTGGCTAGCTTTGGCCAATTAAATTTCAATACCATCTCAAAGTGTTTTGTTCCCAATTTTAGGTCGAGAAATAAATGAGCCGAATTGGCCTAAAATTAAGAATGTTTGGTAAATTACACAAAATTATTTCAAATACGCTCCAGAATTTTACCCAGGTCAAAAAAACACAGAAACCAGTTCCAGAGAAGAAAATGACCACTTCGTATCTGCTCGAAATTCGACCTTGTTAGAAGTCGGCTGAAAAATAAAGTGATCGCTTTTGTATTAAGCAAATCAATCACTGCTATGAGTGTTTTGTTTCAGCAATTATACATTGATTTTTGCAAACCGGCAAAATTATGAAATTTGGGCAGAATAAGTTCGAAGACCCTACTTCTTTCAAAATGCTTTTTGTTTCGACCAAGTTCGAACCTGCAGGTTTTAGTTCGATCAGTTCTACCTTTAGTTTCCAAAATTTCTATTCCTAAATTCTTAAATTTCCCAATTTTTTCCAGCCAGTTCGAGCACAGTAAATTAATTTTCGACTAAGTTGGAACACGCAAAATTCAGTTTGTCAGTTTCAATCAAAATTGACTAAGTTCGACCAAGTTTGACCAATGGAGCCTATGGAGTTTCGTGGTTGTCCTGTATATGATCTTCGAATATGTTGGTCTAGCTAACTGTACACTAACAAAAAATAAATAGTGTTTTGTTTTCAAAGTTGCATCTGCAATACGCTTATGCAAGCTAAAAAATCGGGCCATAATTCTTCTACTAAAACAGCTCAATTTTTTATAATGAGCGGCTCACGTTGCAAATTTGTGCGACCCATTTTGCGACTTTGAGCGACTTAAGATTATTGTGGGAGTATGAAAACTCAAGCCGTCGCAGACAATCCTTTTCGGCAAACCATTTCGGTCGCAACAGGAGTCGCAGACCTCGCACAGGGTAGAGACGTTAACCATTTTTGCATAATTAAAAAAAATTGCCTGGGGCGCAGAAAAATGGCCATTTCTGTGTTTTATTGAAAATCTACCGCCCTTTGACTGGCAACAAAAATAGTCGTTGCTAAGTTGACAGCTTTTTAAATATTCCGTAAAGCTACCATGAATTTTTGAATAAAGTTACTTTGAAAAATGAGAAAAACTAAATTTTTGAAAGAACAATTTGAGGAACAAACTATTTATCTATAAACGCTATTAAGGCGTTGAAAATTGCTTTTGCTTACAATTGAATCATCAAAATAACCGTAGATTTCCACAATTGAGCATCGCACTGTTTTTTGTTTTCGGTGACAAGTGTGTTCAGTTCAATTGTTTTGCGTTACGTAGAATGAGTCCCAAAACATCAAAATCACTTTTTTGAGGAAGTTTAGAGCTTTGAGTTTAGATTCAAAACAAGGCTTGGCGTCGTATAACGAACCAAACAAACATCAGTACCTTTAAATTTTTCTGAAAGGATTTGAAATATAGATCTCCAAATACGTAATCAAAAGAAGTTTACTTTTTTGAGATTGTAAGAAGTAGAAATAAAAAATCGCCGATCGAAAAAAAGATGTTTTGCCATGTGTTTTTTTTTGGCCAAAATGGAGAGCTCTAAGTAGATCAGATGACTAATTGATTAAAAAAAACAAATCATGTGGCTCTCCAAAAAACAAGCAAGGGTCAAACATTTGCAAAAGTGCTGAAAAAACCGAAAACCTCAAAGACTCATTCTTGCCTTTTTTGGCAGTTTTATAGTTAGTTCAGAGGATAGGATGGTTTAAATGGAACGATAATGCAACCGAGTGTGAAAGATTCATATGTGAAAAGAATCATATTAGAATATTAAAAATAGACTCAAAATTGTTTTTTTTTTACCATCCTATTATCCACAAAAAATTGATTTCAATATGTCAGTCAAAGTTTCCATGGAGTCTATTTTAAAATATGTTCATTGTCCGCTGTATTCAATGACAGGCCAAAAAGTCTTCGTTCGAATGATTACTTTGATTTGAAAACTTTTAAAAGCATTTAAGCGTTACCTGCTAAACTAACGATTTCATTTTTCTGGTTGTGTTCGGGTTAATTTGCTGCTCATGATTGACCTAAATTTTTTCAGAGGTCTGTACCAGCAATTTCAATTTTTGTTTTGATGATAGTGTTGTTTGTCGTAGTGGTTGAATTAATGTTTATGGTAAATTTTTCTTATTGATTTTGCTAATAATTGTGGTATTGCTACCCGGGTCGAGATGCTCGATTTAGGCTTTGACTTTCTCGACCAAACTTGTGCTACTATCATCAAAACTCAAAATTGTTTTTTTTACCATCCTATTATCCACAAAAATTGATTTCAATATGTCAGTCAAAATGTCCATGGAGTCTATTTTAAAATATGTTCATTGTCCGCTGAATTCAATGACAGGCCAAAAAGTCTTCGTTCGAATGATTACTTTGATTTGAAAACTTTTAAAAGCATTTAAGCGTTACCTGCTAAACTAACGATTTCATTTTTCTGGTTGTGTTCGGGTTAATTTGCTGCTCATGATTGACCTAAATTTTTTCAGAGGTCTGTACCAGCAATTTCAATTTTTGTTTTGATGATAGTGTTGTTTGTCGTAGTGGTTGAATTAATGTTTATGGTAAATTTTTCTTATTGATTTTGCTAATAATTGTGGTATTGCTACCCGGGTCGAGATGCTCGATTTAGGCTTTGACTTTCTCGACCAAACTTGTGCTACTATCATCAAAACTCAAAATTGTTTTTTTTTACCATCCTATTATCCACAAAAATTGATTTCAATATGTCAGTCAAAATGTCCATGGAGTCTATTTTAAAATATGTTCATTGTCCGCTGAATTCAATGACAGGCCAAAAAGTCTTCGTTCGAATGATTACTTTGATTTGAAAACTTTTAAAAGCATTTAAGCGTTACCTGCTAAACTAACGATTTCATTTTTCTGGTTGTGTTCGGGTTAATTTGCTGCTCATGATTGACCTAAACTTTTTTAGAGGTCTGTACCAGCAATTTCAATTTTTGTTTTGATGATAGTGTTGTTTGTCGTAGTGGTTGATTAATGTTTATGGTAAATTTTTGACGTATGTACCAAATTTTGGCTCGTTTCGTTTTGATCGAGACCTTAAAACATGAGAACTTTTTCATAAGGAAAAAAGAACCAAAAGGGTGTCAGATTTCAGTTTAGTTGTGAAACAACTAAATTTGGTGTCGTAAAATTAACCAAAAAAACTTGTGCTGCTGTTAAGTTACCTTGTAAGGATTCTAAGTATAGATTTGCAAACTCGCAAATGAAAAAAATTTTGTAAAAGGAAATAAAGAAACATCCTCAGCTCAGACCAAAAAGAGGTCTGTCAAATGTTTTTTGGCTAAAAAATGAATTTTATGCAGCTTAGATATCCAATTGATAAAAAGAAGAATCATGTGGCTCGCAGAAAAACAAACTTGTGCCAGGTATCTGCAAAATTGTTAAGAAAACTGAAAGTTTGATTTTTAGCATTTTATAGTTAGTACAGAGGATTGAATGATTTTAAAAGAAGGATAATAGATCCCAGTGGCAGCGATTATGTAAAAACATCAAAATTAGAATTTAAAATGAACGAAAATTATTTTAATTCTGTTCAATGTAGCACAGTTAATCGCCTCAAAAATTGGTGTTAATGTTTCAGCTCAAAATATTTATGCAATCTATATCAAAATTGTTTTTTTTATCCACTGAGTTCATTGATTTGCCATAAATCACTGATTCGAATGATAACTTTGATTTGAAAGCTTTTTTGCAAGCATTCGCTGCTAAACTTACGATTTCACTTTTCTAGTTGTTCTCGGTTAAATTTAATGTTCAAGTTTTTTAGAAGCGGTTTGTGGTAGTAATTAAAGTGTTGTTGATAGTGTTGTTTTTCGTAGTGATTGAGTTAATGCTTGCGAAAATAATTTATTGGTATTTTTGGTAGTAACTGTGGTAATGCTTCCCGGATCGAGGTGCTCAATGTATGTTTCGACTTTCTCGATCAAAATTTGGTATTATTCGACCGTCACAAAAAAACCACCAAAAAGTGTTCGTTTTCGTTTGACCCAGCTGGGATTTGTTTTGAACTTCTCATCCAGAAACTGATATGTTTCGACTGTGTCAACTGTCTCGGCCGACATTTTGTAAAAAAAAAAATTGTTCAACCCGCATAAATATGTTTCGACTTTGTCGACTAAAAATGGGCATTTTTCGACTGTCTCGACTTCCAGTCAAAAATACCCATTTTTAATTTAGACGGACAAGCTTAGACGGACAAAATTTGTTCCAAAAATTGTTTGACACATCTCAGATTTGTTCCATTTGGCGTGATTAATAATGGGATGTGTAATGGTTATCTCAATCCTCTAAATGATTGCAAAAATTTGGCCTTAATAAGTACTTGAATAGCAAAAATAGAAAAATGAAAAGCCTTTTCTTCTGGTTAAAGAAAAGCTACCCGAGCTCTTCAAAAGTCAGAACAGCAGTTTGCATCAGGACGAAGCTCTGAGTGTAACGCTCTTTATTGATCTCGACTCTCTCGACTTGTTCGCCTGTATCGGTTAATGGTTCGACCCTGTTTGACCCATGATTTGATTTTGCTCGACTAAAACTAAAGTTTTTCTTAATTTGCGACAAAAATTGGACATCGTTTGACTGTTTTGGTCAAAACATGAGTCGAATAAATGAAACCGGTTTTTTTTTCTGAAAAATTTGAAAATAGATTTAAAGTTGTAGATCCCAGGTGAGTCCTAGAGTTTATCCTTTACATATAATTTATAATAAAATCATGACTGTTGTTTTTCACAACTGTTCCATTTGATTGTTTTTTAGCTTCCTGTTTTTCTGGTTACAGTTTTATTATTGTCCTAAAAAAATTAGCTGAAGTTTTTGGTTTGGGACCAAATGTAGGTGTGTTTGTCCATATGGCGAGCAATGGTTCTGGTTTAAGTAATTGCACATAAAAAAACTTTTATGCAGAATTTTCTGCTAATTGAATTTATTTTTTCGAGTTTGCTCGTCTTATGTATTGAACTGTGCTCAATCTATGCTTTGATTGTGCTATGCCTATCTTTCGTCTGTGCTCAACTTATATTTCGACTGTGCTTGACCTATGTTTTGGCTGTGCTTGACCTATGTTTCGACTGTTCTCGAAGAACAATGGCTATGTTTCAGTTGTGCTCAATCTATGTTTTGTCTTTCTCGACTTATGTGACGACTGTGCTTGACCTATGTTTCGACTGTGCTCGACTATATTTCGACTGTTCTCGACCTATGTTTCCATTGTTCTAGAACCATGTTTCGACTGTGTTCGACCTATAAATCGACTGTGCCTGACCTATATTTCGAAAATTTGAAATTTTTCATGAAAATCATCCCCCCACACGCCATATAAAGTACAAAAGAATAGATTTCGCTCGTTGTAACAAATCAATTACGGCATATAATCTTCTTTCAACCAATTTGGAACGATTTATAAGACGGATTAAATCTCCGCTTACGCGTTAATAGCGCGAATTATATCGCGCGTTAATTGTCCCAAATTGGTCAAAATGGCCAAAATGGCAATCTTTAAACCCTCATAACTTTACGAAAAATGATCACAGGTGCAATATCTTTTCAAATTTAAGCTCAGGACAACAATAGCTTTCGATTGATGTGAAAAAATTCCGTCAAAAATGGCTAGTTAAAAAGTCGAAATTTGTCTGAAGAAAAAAAAACCCACCCCGAGCACAAATATTCCGTTACTTTCGTATCGAAAGTCGGAACAACAATGTGATTTATTGTTTGTGCCAGTGGTTAATGTTGTTTGTGTTGCTGTTTTTGGCCAAGCTTGTGGTAGTGTTTTCGGTACATTTCATTCATTGAGTTCCATTACTGGAAAACATGCTCGCAATACTGTTTTCGTGCATTTTTCTTCTCTCAAATGTATAGAATTGTATGATAAACGAAAATTGTATGACTAGCATTTTTGTCATCCCGAGTAAATAACTGAAGTCCCCGGTGGCTTAAACAGACTGATAATATTCAGAAAAGAAGTTCTTATAAAAAATCATCAACTTGAACTTTTGTTTCAAATTTCTTTCAAATCATGTTTAGCTTCAATTTATCAATGTCTCATCACTGGTTTGAATACCCTACATAGCCAATAAAACGATTAGTATAATTTTAATTCTAATTCAGGCTTTTTCTAAAAGTTTCTTTTTATTCTGCTCCAATAATGTGGAAAGATGACAGTAAAGCACATGTTGCATTCTTTGCACGACCACCTAGATAGTTTCTCTTTGATCTCGCTTTTTAAAGCACTGCGAGCCAACGAATCAATTTTTTTGGCCGATTAAACTGAACAAAAAGTAAAAACGACCCATAATATCATTTCAATCGCGGTGTGTTTTTTCCTCGTTGTCACTGCTACGATCGACTTCTAATTCTACTCTGTTCACATTGGTCCACGCTCTGAGGAAACTGGCAAGGTCGGAGGAGAAACTCCTCCCAACTGGAGGATGGCGCAGCTTGTTCCTGTCAATCACCACTAGCGACGACTGGGTGAGGAGGAACTGGGCTAAGAAGTATGTGGCCATATGCAGCGCCCACGTGTTCTCCGAGTAGATGATAAATTTATTGGCAGCTATTCAATCACACCTCTTTTCCAGTTATTATATTTGTATCTTTGATGAAAACTGCTCAATTATATTATTTTACCCAAAAACTATCTCCAATCCAGGGTCGGATCTAGGATTTTCTCGAGGGGGGGGGGGGGCGGATTTCCAAAAAAACTTCGAAAATTTTGTCGACTTTTTTCTTTATGCCGACCATATTGATTTTTCGAGCTCTTCCACTTTTTGGAAATTTTTGACCAAAAAACCGCGTTTTTTCGGCGCGCGCTCCCCCCTCAAAATTAGTATATATTAGCGCCAAAGGCGCCTTTAGAAAATTTTTAGAGTCCATCACCAAAAATGGATTTTGGAAAATAGTACAAAGGGGGGACCCTTTGGGTCGGCAGGGGGTCGAATCCCTGAGGGGGGGGGGGGGCGTCAATCATGACGTATTTAGTCAAACTGGAAAAGAGCAGCGTGTGTGAAAAAAGTGTGCATGTATAGTTACTGCCAAATTGTTGGCATCGATAACCTGGAGTAATTTAAACGGTCAAAAAACGGCTGTTTTATCCAGATTAGAATTTTCGGTATGCTTTTTTACATGCTCGAATGGTTAAAAAATTAATTTCAAGTGTCAAATTGAGTGTTTTAGTTTAATCAGCTTCGTTTAGGTTTGTAGGCCGAAAAAAGCATTGCCAACAATTTGGCCATAACTATATTTGATATGCCTATTAATGTGTCGGACAGGACGTAGAGAAGGATGCCGAATAGTCTCTGTTTGCCTCTATCCTTCTCGTTCTCACTGGTGGCTGTGAGAAGTAACACCAATGCCCTCCACACGCCTGCATAGAGCACCCCACTGTAGAGATAACAAGCCACTATTACGATGTAGAATGTTGTAATGTCTGAAAAAATCATAATGCTATTTACAATTAAGAAAACCAAGATAGCCGGTTGGTGTGCAAGTAGCACAAAATGCTCCGACCATGTTCTTAAAAAAGTACATAAAAAGTTTTTACATTTTTTTTTCAAATTAGTGTTTTTTTTGTGCGTGGTGTGATGAAAAGCTTTTACGAAAACCTTTTTTTTCAATGCAAAACAAGTTTCATGGCTGATTATTGTATAATAAGAGCAGACTCATTATAGAATGATCAGCTTAATTTACTCGCTCGATTAAACTCAAAAATTTTCAACTGGTTTTTCTCGATACTCGGTCAATCTTTTGAATTTTTTAGTGTCATTGGAATCAGGATGAAGGGGTTTTAGAGTGGTAAAAGCTTTTGGCTGAAAAACAAAAGAAGATTGCTCCTTTGGTTTACTCGCTCGAAGTTAGACAAGAATCAACTCACTTATTTAAACCGGTTTTTCTCGACACTGATACAAGTTTTTGTAGCAGAGTAACACTAAGTTTTGAAGGCTTAAGTTAGGCTGTTAAAATATGCTATTGTAGGCTTGCTTTCTCGCTTTAGCTGCTCAAATTAAGATTAAAAACAAAACAATTTAAACCTGTTTTTCTCAACACTAGGACATTTTTCTGAAAATTATTTAATGTCATTCAAATCACGACTGAAACGGCTGTAACATGATATATCACTCGACTTGCTTCAACAATTATTTGTAGAACCTGATCTTGCGTGAACAAAAAAAAACCTAAAGCACACCCGAATACAAAGTTCCTCCCCATTTTTAATGACTGATAATGACAAAAAAGCTAAACGCATCACAGTGGTGGTCAGTTTAGGGGGAGGAGTTAGCACGCGCCTCCCCCTTCTTGAATTTGTCACTTTGATCACCAAAATGGATCTCTTTACTTTTTTTCACGCCATCCAAATTTGGTAGAATAAATCAAAACACAGCCAACAAACAGTTGAAAAAAAGTCAACGAATGCACAAAGAAGTGATTTTGTACTGATTTTTTGAAAAAAGCTCAATTTTCGATTTTCAAAGAAAAACAGATGCCCTTAAATCTCTTTGAAAATCTAGAACAAGTTGTGATTGACTATTTTTTTAAACTAACCCAATTTGAGAAAACTGGATCAAGAGATAAATGTTTTGTTTCGCTGAAAAACCTCAAAATTAAATTCCACTTTCAAAACTTGATCGTAGTTTTTGCGATCTTCATTTTTTTGCTGTTCAGTAGTGGAGTATAATTTTTCTTTTTAACAAAGTAATTGATCTGAAAATGAAAAAAAGTCAAAACTCACACAGCGAAAAATTAAATTTGAGCCTGATCATCTGTTAAAAATTTTCCGGAAAAAAATAAGTGTCATCGCGACCTATATAAGAGTCTGAACTACGTTCAATGCCACTTAAAAAATTGAAGGCACTTTTGGTATTATAATACAAAAGCGAATTTATATTTTTCTCGCAGTGATAGGTTGGATTGGCCAAAAGTATTCAAAAAGAACCAATTAATAGCTTTCTCATAGCAACTTTCCCATGTTGAACAAAAAAAGCTAATCATACAATTCTCAAATCTGGAAAAAGGCTTGTATGTTCAAACAATTTTAAACAAGACCAGTCACACAAAAATACATTAATGATTCTTTACAATTTTTTCTCAAAATGAAAATTGTTATTTTTTCCTAATTAAAAATTGAATGAGCATAAAAGAACAACCGAGCTTCACTTTAAATTATTGTGTTTTGTCCGGCACACAAAATTCAGGGATTTTTTGATTCAAGAATATAAGATCATTGAGAATAATGGCAAGGATGAAGTTCCGCTGAAAAAGAGCTATTCTCATGCGCGAAGGACCGAATGCTAAAAGCTTCTAAATCATTTTGTGTCAAATGAATTGTCAAAAATTCAAAACTCCTTCAATGTTTTTACTTAGTCATTTTTGATAGCCTGACACAATTTTCGTGTATTTGGTCATTTTGAAGAACAGCCATTTATCTTTACGACAAAATCATCTCCTTATTTTTGCTTCGGTCAACCTCTCAGGGCAAACTACAAAAATTATTTCTATAGTCATGTCACTATTTGGTTCAGCTGCTTTTTTACCTCAACATTTTTTTACGTAACCCAAGGGACCTAAAATCATTTAACCCTCGCTAATCAAGTAAGGAAGCAAAATATAGAAATCTTTGTTTGATGTCATTGAAAATGATTTCTCTGTCAAATAAATTTCCAATTGTGAAGGACAGACGGTTGGAAAAGAGTCAATGAACGCAAGAAAACAGAAAAAACTGGCCGGTTTTTTAAACAGACTTTAACTTTCAAAGTTTACAGAGAAAAAATAAATGCCAATAAAGTTGTCTCGTGTTCTAGAATAGATTATGATTGTCATTTTTTTGATAAAGTTAACCCTATTTGTAAAAATTGGATCATTCAGTAGAATTTTAAATTCGCTGAGAAAACTGAAAAGTAAAACAAGAAGTTGATAATGTTTTTTGCAGTTTTTTCATTTTTGCCAATCAATGGTGACGTTTGCCTTCCTTTTAACAAAGGAAAATAACTGAAAGTAACGAAAATTAAAAGTCAAACCGCAAAAAAATTTTGAATTGAACAAATGTTAAAAATTTCTTAGAAAAAAAAACAAAAAGAAATCGTTGCGACATATGTAAGAGTCTGGATTTTATAATTTATAGGTTTTAGAGATTTATAATTTTCTCGCGATGATAGGTTGGATAGGACAAAAGTTTTCAAAAAGAGCCCGTTATCAGATTTCTTATTCCAGATATCCTGTGTTGAACAAAATAGCCTACCATACATTTTTCATATCTGGAAAAGTGCTTATCTTACGATTTCACAAGAATTTTCGGGTACACAAAAAATTGTATAGCGATTCTTTGAAAAGATTTTCTCCACATTTGAAAATTGTTTTTTTTTCCATAATTGATAATTGAATGATCATAAAAAAATCGAGATTCACTTTAAATTTTCGTGTTTTGTAAGGCATACAAAATTAAAGGATTTTCTGATGCAAGCAGCTTCATAGGTTTGTTGGAAATAAGTAGCAGGTGAACTGCTGCTGAAAAGGAGCTACTCTCATGCGCGAAGGACTAAATGCACAAAACTTGTAAATTATTATGTGATCTTTGAATTGTCCAACAATAAAAAAAGTCCCTCAACTTTACGACTGATTAATTTGGCAAGAGGGTAGGACTCTATGCTAAAATTAGAGCCGGATAACGCCGCGAAGGTGCGACGCTCGCGTAGCGCCCCCACCGGTGACGTTAAACCTCGATCTTAAAATAGTAGGCTTAGTAGTCGTTTGACCAATTGAATGTTTTTGGTACTAACGCTATTGATTTTTCATTTTGGTACAAATAGGATTGATTTTTTTAATTTTGATACTTGTGAATACCCACTCAACACGAGTTGGTTTCGCTGCGCAAGTCAGAACTGATTCTGTATTTTTTGTAGTAAAAGCCGATTTAGCCCCGTTCAGAGATGAAATCAGAGTTAGAAACAGAGCATTCTAACAGTACCCAGTGGCCCAATGCTCTTCTTGATCTGTTTAATTCTGATAGCAGAATCAGTGAAAATAGAGAGATAATCATTTATTTACAAAATGCACAGAGTTGTGTTGCCCCCAGATTCGAACCCTACACCATTCTCGATGAAGCTTATGCTTATATCTCAGAGTATAGTTGTAGGTGGAAAGCCAAACTTTTAAAAAATTTCTACAGTAGAACGCTGAAACCTTGTTGCTAAACTCTGATCACTGATTCTGTTTTGCAAAATCTGAAATCTTGTTTCAATCTATGAATATATGTGACCCAAAAAATTTTGTACGAGCTATGATGCACATGTTACTTTTCTGAATTTTGCTGTAAAAAGGACAGTACTGATTTTAAACGCAAACGTCAATCCGGCAAAGACCGAACCTCATCGCCATATTGCACAAACATAATTTTTTTGATGTTTCAAAAGAATAATTAAAGAGAGTTTCAAAAAAATAAAAGTTTCATTGAAAAGAGGAAAGACCTATTTAGGAATAGGCAAGTTTTACAAACATAGTTTTCGTTATGTGATTAAAAATTTCACGTGTGCCACAAATAAAGTTAGGAATATAAAGGGAAAAGGAGCCCGAGTTCAGCATTGTTTTTAGTCTGGATGTCTGAAAGTGGACCTCAGGCTAATGCTACAAGTAATAACTGTTAATGAAATTCATCTATCAATCATTATTCCCAGAAAAGCCTGAAAATAATTTTTCCTTTAGTATCATTCATAACACTAGTATCAGACTTATTAGCAGACAATAACGATAATGGACTCAGTCACTCACCTAGTGGTTTGGTGGACTGTCTCTCGAAGTAGACGCATGTGGAGAAGACTGCGATGGCACACATGAACACCACCACTGCCAGTCGGGGGTGGAGGGGGTGGAGTCCAAAGGAGGCTGTGTAGTAGCAGTGGGAGATGAGGAAGGAGAGGAGGCCCAGGATGAAGAAAGAGAAGTGTAAGTTGTCCCACACCAACAGTCCGTCTCCAAACACTACACACACGCAAACATAATAACAACAAAACAGCTTGTATCTGCCCAAAGTCCCAAATACTCAACTGCCCTTTAGCATCTACGGAGTGTTCGATTTACAAAATGATGGAACTTGAAAAAGAAAACAAATCAAAATAAAAACAGGAATATTCATTTTTTTTGAAAATCCTGACACCACATATCTTGTAAATTGAAAAGTGATATGTTTAGCAAAGTGACACAGAGAATTTTATTCAATTTAAGGTAAAGTCTTTGATTTCAATTTGCTGTCTGAAAGTCTGTCATTTGACATTGTTGACCTCTAGGTTGTCTGGAGTTACCCGAAACAGTAAGTGCAGTTGATTTAATGTTCTTGGACCACACAGCTGCATTCAAATTGAACTTTAAATCTCATACGTTTTCAAAGCTAAATCATGGCGCAGCCAGCGGATAAAAAGGTGATGGAAAAACTAACTGAATAATGAATCGTTGTGGGATTCTCGGAACCCGTAGCCGCCTGCTTACTTGGAAGAGTGGATAATTAAGTTCTACTGAGGCATGATCGCTTAGTACGACATCGATCCAGATTATATCTACTTTGCAGTCACCTTAAAGTTTACAGCAAAAGCGGCATTAACAGAAAAGGTAAGCAAGAATATCTTCCTGTAATTGCAAATGAAGCTCAAATCAAATCAGTTCATATGTATCGGAGATAAAGCACAGCGGGTCTTTAAAGCTCGAAGACTTGGGTTAAACGTTAAGCCCGAGAGCTACCCCATGGTACTGTACAATGCGAGTTTCAAACGAGAAAGGACTGTTACCCAAAAATGAGGTTTGTTTTACGGAAATCGGGAAAATGAGACGTTTGAGAAATTGAGAGATTTCACCAAAACGGCGGAAAATGTACAAAATATTTTTATTACGAACATGAAAAAATCAAAATGTCAGATAGAGTGGTTGCGCTTGACAAAAACAACGGAGCGGAGATGTTTCAACAAGTTGTTTTGTCATAAGAGAGTTGGGAGCGCGCATAGAATTCTTACACCAGATAGCCGGCTTCATCGGCACAACACATCACCATCAAGCAGAAAACTATCTCAAAATACCCGGCAAGCAACGTCACGTTTAACGCATGCCAAAAACTAGGTCATTCCGCTCTAATGTCTTGACGCGTAAGAAGAGCTAACCAGTGGAGAGTACGGGGCAGAGTAGGATTGGTGCGGGAAAACAACTATGCCGAGCATTGTCAATAGTAGCATGCAATAAACAAGTTAGAACAAATAGGTTGCCACTGATCAATTTGAACCAATCAGCATACCAAAAAAAAATCGAATTATGAATAGAACGCTCTAGTGATAGTTTACTGCTTTCACTTATAGGGGGTGGCAATTCTTTCCCCGTGTCGGGAAGTTCAAGTTATGTTTTGACTTTGAAAACCGAGCAGGTGCAGTTTTGCGACTGAAGTTCCGCAGTCGATAAGCAGCTTTAAGTCAAGCACACAGTCGCAAAACACCCGATTTTGGTCAAGAGAGTCGAAACATAATTCAATCACCATCAAAACATAGGTCGAGCACAGTCGAAATATAGGCCGAGCGAGCAAAGTCAAAACACCCTTTTTGGGTCGAGAAAGTTGAAATATATCTATGCCGGGTCGAACAAATATTAGAAAAAGTCGGTCGAGACAGTCGAAACATGTCGAACTTTGGTCGAGAGAATCTATTAGCCCCTTTCATTTTGAAGATTTTTGTCATATAAAGTCTTTATACTCGTAAACAATTTGAGCTCTTTTTTATTTGTCCAAATGTCCTTTTCTTTATCAAAGTCCTGAGCGCAATATTAAGCAAAAGACCTTAAATTGAAAAACTCTAGGTAGAACAAGTCTTTTCTGGTGCAGAGAGTTACAGATTAGTGATAATCAAAGTTTCTTTTCTGACCAAGCAAAAACACGAAAGTCTAATAAAAACTTGCTTTATAGTTGTATTTTCAATTTTCATTATTCTTTGATAAACGAGTCTGAATATAATCTGCATAGGATCTGTATGAAAAAAAATCCAAAGAAATGGACAAAAGGGCTTTAAATTCACTTTAATTGATACTTTTCTTATTCAAAATTAAAACCAAAAAATAAGCAAAAAAGGATTTAATTCAATTTAGAAATGATTGAAAATAATTTTTGTAAGCTACAATGACTATCAAACTAAATCAATTTTAAATCAATTCAAAACAGTTTTTTTTAAGCCTATATCACATCATCGGTATAAAGTCGATTGTAATCTAGTTTTGTCAGCACGGCTGGATTGATCTCCATTCACAAAAAATGCTTGTCATACAACTCCATTCATCGAGTGTTTTAAAAAAATCGCTCATCATAAGTTTTCATTTCTAAAGTTGTTTGATAAATTTTTTTGACTGGCTAGAAAAGTTTTTGGAAAGCAAGGATGCAAATTTTTGGGGAATTTTTGCAGGTGCGGTGAAAAGGAAAAAGAGCCCAATTTTTTTAAAATTTTAATGGATTTCACTGCCTTGCAAAAATCCACGTAAGTCATTTTAAATCAATTTTTTGGCAATAAAGTCGATTTTTTGGCTCTTTTTCCTTCCCCCCCCACTTGCAAATTTTTACAAGTAAGTTTGTTGACCACATTGTCCGATTGTTATGAAAATTGTTATTAGACTGATTAGGCCATAACAAGCATATATGGTCTTCATAATTAACCTTGTAAAACCACTCGTTAGACCATAAAATTTATGTTTGAGTGAGGTGGGATGGAAAAGGAAAAAGAGCCAAAGCCTTTACAACTCTTTTCAAGTTTCTCCCTCGAATTTTTCTGAAAATCATTAAAGGAAAGTCTATTTAAAAGTCTTTTATTGTTAAAAACTGCATTAAAACGTGACAAGGTCAACAGGTGAACAATATTTCACAACATTTATAACATGCAAAGTTTCCTGAGAACAATTTTTGAACAGCCTTATTTTGCTATTTTACGAGGGGGGTGGGAAACTGGAAAAGAGCAAAAATTACTGTTCACATTGTCCAATTGTCATGAAAATTGATATGCTGACTGATTAGGCCATGATAAACATCTTTGGTTTTCATAACTAACCTTGTAATACCACTCGTTAGGCAAATTTATTTATTTGAAAATACTGTTCACTTTGTCCGATTGTCGTGAAAATTGACATGCACGTAAATAATTTTAAATCAATTTTTTGGCAATAAAGTCGATTTTTTGGCTCTTTTTCCTTCCCCCCCCCCCCCACTTGCAAATTTTTACAAGTAAGTTTGTTGGCCACATTGTCCTATTGTTATGAAAATTGACATATAGACTAATTAGGCCATGAAAAACATATTTGGTCTTCATAATCAACCTCGTAAAACCACTCGTTACACTAAAAAATTGAAGCTCGTCTGAGGTGGGGGGGGGGGGGGGGGGGAAAGGAAAAAGAGCCGATTTTTTTTCTACTGGTCATTCTAAATCGATTTACATATCTAAATGGGCTACTGTAAATTGATTTCGATGCAGTATATGGCTCTTTTCCTCCCCTCCCCTCGATATTTTTGTTTTCTTTTCTTACTTGCTTTGCGGGTTATGTCAGCGCAATGTGTGATGAATGAGGAGCGAATCCGTTCACAATAATTAGTTTGTTCATCATACCAAATTTCATTGCATTATGACAACGATCAATTTGAATCTCGAACTTGTCAGAGCGTGCGAAATGTTAAGTATATGAAGATCAAATGGTTCAAAACTAAAAGGAAAGGTGACGAGAAAGAGCCTAAAATTAAATTTGAAAAAGTAGCGCGCTGTTAATGTGAAGTTTTGTTCGTGGCTACCTGAGAACAGGAGTCCAATGAAGAACTTGGTCTGTTGTGTGTGTGGCTTAGAGGTCAGCTGCAACTCCCTCATGTTGGTCCTCATTGTGTAGCAGAGTGTGAGGGTCGCACAACACTTGATCAACATCTCCACCAGCTGGTGGTCCAATGCTTAACCACAGGTCTCTTTCACCTACCCTCATGTGTTCAACACTTTTTTCATCCCCATGAGCTATACACCCATAAATTGAAGTTTTTCTTGCGTTTTTCATTTCTTGGCTCTTTTTCCTTTTCCCCCCACCTGCAGTTTTTTAACTAGAAAAAGCTTCTGTTGACATTGTCCGATCGTTATGAAAATAGACATGCGGACTGATTAGGCTGTGCCAAACATATTTGGTCTCCACAATAAACCTTGTAAAACCACTCGTAACACCAGAAAATTCATAGTCGTGTGAGGTGGGGAAAATGAAAAAGAGCCCATTTTTTTTAATTTTTGCAAGATATTTATTGACGCTAAATGTATCGATTTTCTCTGCAAAGTATGAAGAACCAATGGTTGGTTGGAGTAGTAAGTGTGTTCAGCGGAAAAAAACTGGTTGATCTCAAATACCGAAAACGATAATTATACAACTCCCTAAAAAGTCTATGAAAAAGTGCTACTAGTCATACAGTGCTGATTTAAATTATCCGGACAAATCGAACAAAATTTGAATTTTGAAACGCGTTTTTCTCAAATTGGGTTAAGATTAGACAAAAAGTGAAGAGAACAAAATTTGCTTAGAATTTCATTTTCATGGTGCCATTTTTTCTCCAAAATTCTCAACAAAAATTTTACCACAAAAAAGGGTCATTCTGGCTTTTTTCAATTAATCAAGAATTACGCGGAAACTACTTTGTTAATTGATGAGAAAATTATATCACAGGAAGCCTCTTATGCAGCTCAACAAAGTTTAAGAAGGGTTAAATCTCCAAAAATTTGCGCAAATTGTTTAAAATTTGTTTTTAAACAAAGATTCTGGGTTTTACATAGTAAAAATCACATTTATTGACTATCAAGTGAAAACTTTTTCTCTTATACTAGTTTTTGGAGATTTAATCCTTCTTAAACTTTGTTGAGCTGCGTAAGAGGCTTCCTGTGATATAATTTTCTGATCAATTAACAAAGTAGTTTCCGCGTAATTCTTGATTAATTGAAAAAAGCCAAAATGACCCTTTTTTGTGGTAAAATTTTTGTTGAGAATTTTGGAGAAAAAATGGCACCATATTAATTCTGGTGAAATTCTAAGCAACTTTTGATCTCTTCACTTTTTGTCTAATCTTAACCCAATTTGAGAAAAACGCGTTTGAAAATTCAAGTTTTGTTCGATTTGTCCGGATAATTTAAATCAGCACTGTACAAATTTCATACGTTTTGCATATTACGTATTGCACGCCCACTTTTCGAAGTTTTTTTTTGGGGGGGGGGGGGGGGGGGGGGGAGGTGTGAGAAGTGAAGAAAGAGACCTTTGGGATCCTGGATGACTTTGAGGAGGAAATAAAACAAAACGAACGTAATGTAAATATAAGGGTGACTAGACGTCATTTTAATTGAACAATTTTTCACCCAATAATTGCAAATATGTGCTTTCCTTTTTGTTATTCTCAAGGGTAAATTGGATATATAGTCGAATGTTTAGCTACGTCATTTATACACGTGCGCCAGTGTTTGTCCCATTCTAATAACGTGTAAAAAAATTGTTCAAAAAGAACTAGAGAGGAAAAATGCGAAAAAATCGAAGAAGAAAGTGAATGAAGACAATGATGAGACTGATTACGTCATCAAGAGGTAATATCTTAATGACGTCACAATAAAAGTGAAGGTAAGAGAGCAAAAAAGGGAAAGGAGAAAAAACTAAGCAATTACGGAAGGAAGGCTATCTAACTAGTCGTTTCCGTTGTCACCCTGAACACCATTTGCAACACTGCAAAGGGGGGCAGGCAAATCAGTTCAAAGACTCTATGTTATATTTTTGAGTGTCGAAATACGTAACCTTTTATTCGAAAATTTTCTTATAGAACCGACTCTCCGTCCCGCACCTGCAAAGGTTTAAACGTAAAAAGTTTATTTTAATTGTCCCATTGTTGTGAAAATTGGCCTGTGGACCAATTGTTTTCTAGGTTGATAGAACACATTTGATAGCTTGAACTTATTTTAGAAAATTAGACTTTTGATCTGTAGCATCCACAAAAGGTGGTATGGGCTCTTTTTCTTTTCCCCTCCCACCTCAAATAAGCATCAGTTTTATGGTGTAACGAGTGGTTTTGTGAGGTTAGTTATGAAGACCAAATATGTTTGTCATGGCCTAATTACTTCGCATGCTAATTTTTGTAAAATTCGGATAACGTGAACAAAATTTCCTCAGTAAACTTTTGCAGGGGGGAGGAAAGGAAAAAGAGCCATGGTATGGAAAAGTCTCAAACAAAACTTGGTCAAAACAACGCGGTCTAATGATTTACTTACTGCAATTAAACTTAACCTAACTTACTGACAGATATAGGTTTGCAGTTTTGTCACCACTTGACTAATTTAGTCTTCGGTTGCAGTTTGGTAGCTTTGTTACAAATTCGTTTTTGATCTGGTGGGGGTGCTAAGCAAGAGTACATTTAAAATGTTATTTTTTCTTGCAAACTTCTAACATGGTCTTGCTTAATCTTTCAAAAGCTGAGTCAGATTTTTTGACCCTTTCTGTTCTACAGCCCAGCCAAGTGACCTTATGCTACTAAAGGAAATACTGCCAGCTTTTTCAAGAAAAAAAGCATCAGCAAAAACGTTTTGTTTTCCATTCCCTCATTCAGTTTTTTTTCTTAAAATCGATTTACAAAAAACCGATTTTGTGCTTTCCGAGGGGCTTGGGAAATGAAGCAGGTTTTGCATAACTGATGGTACAAAATGATGCAGACGCCTTCAGCAGTAATTCACTTTTGCAAAAAGGGTTCCAGCTTCAGCTTTGGGAAGATAATTCTTCAACGGCAGCACAGGAAAAAGGGGGATTAGGGTAGGGAAATTGTACGATTAAAACAACTCGTTATACTGACAAAATGAATGAACATCAATTTACTCACGCGGTCTGAAAAAACGTGGAATGAACAAATACATCAAACGCATTTATTCACGCACATTTTTGAGGGACCGAGATCCACAGGCTGATCGATTAGCGTAAAAGGCTAGATGAGTTTGTTTCAAACGTCAACTACAAGTATTCATTGAAAGAGCGTAATTTCGCACAATCAAATTCACCTTAAAACCCCTTTTGTAAATAAAAAAGGAGCTGAAGCTTCGTGAAATTAACGTGAAATTATTTCCCCTTTAGACGTCATTAATGAAGAAAACATTTCTGAAAGAACTAGACCTTTTTCATTTTTTTTTCAAATTAGCAGAAATGGGATTATGCCTGAATTGGTTACCCATTTTCAAAGGATGCCTTTTTTGAGTGAGGGTTGTTTTATTTCGAAGATAAATTTTTCTCATCATATTCTTTTGATTGGGTTTGGCGGGAGTATTTCACGAGTTTCATAATCAAAAGAACTGACCGAAATATGTTACATATCTCCTGGAGCTTACTTAGCGAGCGAGCGGAGCGATCGAGTAACATTCATTACAGGGGCAGGTTTAGGGGGGACGCCCCTTTCCCCTCAGAGATTCGACCCCTTCACCAACCAAAGGGTCCCCCCTTTGGTATTTAAATATGACACCCATTTTAGGCCGACCAGCCCAAGAACTTTTCTTAAGGCGCCTTCGGCGCCAATATATATTAATTTTGATATATGTCAAAGATTGCCAAAAAGTGCCCAGAAACGGCTTTTTTGACCTGTTTTTCAAACATTTGCTTGCGGTTTTTTCAAACATTTTTTTTTGTCAAAATGGGGTCTGTATATTGTTCTGGTATTGCTCGGCAAATCAGTTGGTCGACCTTGAAAAAGGTCGACAAAATTTCGAACAACTTTTGAGAAAATCTTAGATTCGCCCCTGATTCGTTATATATTAATAGGCTAAGAAAAATTGTTAACTAAAAGAAAACTTGTTTTAGAGGCCTCAAATTTCTAGAAGCTTCAAATTTCCAAAAAATTTTATCAAGGTTGTGGAGTAAAATTTTGAGCCTATAAAACGAATATAACAGACTCATGATATGCTTAGGTTAATCTTATAATGGTAGTCTTAAAAATCACTTTTTTTCGCGAAAACTTGGTTCTTTTTCAGTTAAAAGTTTTCGGGTACTCTACCTTATCCAGGTAAAAGTTTTTAGTTCTTCTTTTTATGAACAAAATGAAATTGTTTCAATCATTTTCTTTTATTTTTTAAACTTTTTATTTTATCCTATAAGAAAATTTGTTGTCAAACGAACCGTATTTACTACTTCTATCAAAAATATAGACGTTCTTTCAGATGCTCTCATCACACCACGAACAAAAAACGACGCAACTTGACAAAAAAAAAATCGTTTTTTTTTCAAGATTGTTTTTTTTCTGTGCTATTTGCACAGTATCCGACTACCCTTATTGTTCCGACTTTCATAACGAAAAAAACGCAATATTTGTACTCGAGTGGGTTTTTTTTCCTCAGACAAAACATCAGTTATTTAACTCGCCATATTTGAATGTGTGTGAGGCTAGAAACGAGAAATGAAATGTAACTAAAGAATTGAATGATAAGGTAAAAACAACGCCAGTCGCACATCAACTATGCAGGAGAAGGTTTCAACTGTACGCTTCCTTTAAAAACATCGGCTCTTTTTCCTTTTCCCCCCACCTGCAAATTTTTACATGTAAATTTGTTGACCACATTGTCCGATTGTTATGAAAATTTACATACAGACTAATAAGGTCACGACAAACATATTTGGTCTTCATACTCAACCTTGTAAAACCACTTGTTACACTAATATATTGAAGCTGGTGTGAAATGGGGGGGGGGAAAGGAAAAAGAGCCAAAACATCGGGGTCGACAGCTTGAATGATATACTTGAAGGTGCTTAAGTTTGGCAAAAAGATTGGATTAGGCAGCTTAGGGCTGATCTTGACAACCATGGGCTCAAAACAAAGTGCGAGACCAAGACAACTGGTTGCACAATCCGACAACTAAACTTAAGTTCACAGACGGTGGGATTCTAAAGCCAAAGCTATCGGCAAAATGTCGCAAACAGTTCAATGTGCTAATGAAAACTGTAGTAGAATGTTTCATAGCAAAAAAGAAGAGATAAACAGGCATCTCAAAGAAAATCATCATCCAGAACCCTCGGTCCAGACCACCGATAGTAGTGAATTTGAAACTAATAAAGGAATTGAAAGCATTAAGGATTTGAAAGAAATGTAGAGACTCGCTAGCAGCCCAGCAACGGTAGGTCCAAGAAAGGCAAACTCGACTGCCCTCCGTCCGACTGTAACAAGACTTATGTCTATGTCAGTGGTTGGCTTAAGCACATGCAAAACAGCCACCTTCATGTGAAACTGATCCGCGCATCAAAACCGACCATCTCAGCACCCCAACTGAGTCGGCAATCCTTCACATCAAACAAAGACACTAGCACAGGTGATGAGGTGCTGAAGTGTCCGCTCTGCTCTTATCGGTTCTCTGTTAGAAAGCCTATGATCAATCAATGTTATTTGAAGCACCGATATTCGTGGGTAAAAGCAAGGCCAATGCCCAAGCCGCCAAGTCATGTTGGCGTTGTCCCGGTGCATAAATTCAAGAAGCAAAATTGTGCAGAATCTGGCGTCATGACCGCCACTGCTACTTCGGAAAGGTAGAACGGGTCCCGGTGGTGACTTTCATTCGTTTGAATTAGTTATGATTTGATGAAGTCAAAACCATTGCCCCAGGCCTTGACCAGCTGGGGTCCAGATGGGAGGATAATTTTACTTCTTGGCCCGATTGCGTGAGCAGTGGCAGTGGTTTTGACGCATTTTTCGGAATGAGATATTTTAGGTTCCTACCATATCTGGTGCAACTACGACACTCTTCCGCGAGGTTCACTATGTCCTTGTGCATATGCGGCTACCACAGGTATTGTGACACTCCTAGCATGGCCTCTTGACCCCCATGTCCCCGTTGGATTCGTTTTAGCACAGCTTGACTCGGTTGAAGAGGTACTGCCAGCCTGTTCTTCACCAGAATGCAATCGTCCTGCACCGCCATCTGCGACCACAATGGATGCGTATACGGTACCATCAGCTCGAATCCTTGTTTTTTCCTCTCTCTATGACTCGTCTGAGGCGGTCTATCCACGTGTCCTCGGAAGTCAATTCTGCCAGGAGATTTTTATCAAACAATTTGGAGATATTGTCCAGTGACTCCTCCGTTTGCTGTTTCTGCAGCTTTTGTTCCTTTTGTTTATTGGACCTTTTGGGTGGTTGAATCGCGCACATCTCTTGGTCGCTCTCCATGTCTTCTGTGGTTGTCAGATTCAGCTCGATTAATTGAACAACGCTCAATTTTCTTTTATTTGAATGAGCTGGTGTGATGCTGATTGGTACTTGATCGCTCTCCTCTAGAACTTTATCGGTCTCTTCCGAGGTTGCCACTAGTTTCCGATTGATGTTTCTTGTAGTATTTATTTCTCCCCCGATCAATTCCAGAACGATAGAAGCCTGCTATCCGCCTCTTTCTGTTGGTCCGGTTGCAATTGCCATTTGAATCTTGATTGCATCCTTGTTTCGCTGTCCGAGCTGTCTCTGTTTCTCCGGACAAAACATCAGTTATTTAACTCGCCATATTTGAATGTGTGTGAGGCTAGAAACGAGAAATGAAATGTAACTAAAGAATTGAATGATAAGGTAAAAACAACG